GAAAATAGTAAAAATAAAGAAAAACCCTGGAATGAGTAGGTGTTCTAAAACTTTTGACTGGTACTATATGGCTATTTAAGTTTTTTATTTGTATTAAATTAGCAAAAATGTCTACAAACCTGTTTTGTCTTTGTCATTATAAAAAAAAAAGAATGTAATCAATTTTATAATAAGGCTCCGACGTAACAAAATGTGAAAAAAAGTGAAGGGGTCTGCATACTTTCCGAATGCACTGTATGTACTATATTTATTTATTTTTCCTCGATTGCCATTTAGATATAATTGGCATTAAAGAGATATAAAATACTTTGATCATTAGTTGGGTTACCATGGAGAGTTATAGTACCTGAAAGCAATGAGTTTTTATGACTCTCTTTCTCCTCCCACGTAATGACCTTCTCCAACTGACACACGCACACTTTTTTTTCTGGGCGGCTGAAACAGGCAGCAAACAGGTCATGTTCGCCCACACACAAGTGAGGGATATTGATAAGTAATTAACTCAGTATATCTTCCTCAGTCATTCATTACACACACACACACAGACACACACACACACTCACACACGTCTATCTCTGCATCTGAAACTCACTGAAGTTAGTGTGTTAATGATACCCACAACCTTCACATCACTGGAATGAATGGCACAATTAAAAATCTAAAAGTTGTGTTCTGAAGCTCTTTAACCTTAATCGTCTCAAGTCAAGGAGATTTAGAGTTCCGTCTAGTTAGAGCAGCTTGTGATCACCGTGGGGACAGAAGAAGAGAGCAGAACGTGACCAATCACAGCGGAGACAGAAGAAGAGAGCAGAACGTGACCAATCACAGCGGAGACAGAAGAAGAGAGCAGAACGTGACCAATCACAGCGGAGACAGAAAAAAGAGAGCAGAACGTGACCAATCACAGCGGGGACAGAAGAAGAGAGCAGAACGTGACCAATCACAGCGGAGACAGAAAAAAGAGAGCAGAACGTGACCAATCACAGCGGGGACAGAAGAAGAGAGCAGAACGTGACCAATCACAGCGGGGACAGAAGAAGAGAGCAGAACGTGACCAATCACAGCGGGGACAGAAGAAGAGAGCAGAACGTGACCAATCACAGCGGGGACAGAAGAAGAGAGCAGAACGTGACCAATCACAGCGGAGACAGAAGAAGAGAGCAGAACGTGCCCAATCACAGCTGGGACAGAAGAAGAGAGCAGAACGTGACCATTTCTTGTGAGATCAAGTTGTGCTAACGTCTATGTACAGTAGACAGGTAGTTGAAGTTGGACCTGTAGCCGAAAGGTCGCCTATTCCAATCGTGTTCTGAGCGCTAGAAAAAAGGGGTGAAATTAATCTGCCGACTGAAAGGCTACTGGGTTCATATCCAAAAAAACAATCCGTTACCGTTGGGCCCTTGAGCAAGGCTCTTAACCATACAACATTCTCTCCATCCAGAGGTGCTACCCTGCACTCCTATGTGTCTGTATGATGTGTGAGGGGTGGGGAGGGGAGGGGGAGGGGGGGGTGGGGGGGTGGGGGTTATCTAACTTTCTTTTCATCATTCCTGTGCCGTTGGCTTGGACACACACACACACATGCACACACACACACACACACACACTCATTACATCCTAATGATGAGGAAAAATCAAGCATTCCCCGGAGCATGGAGACTGTGGCATCCTATTCCCTATATAGTGCACTTCATTTAACAGTCATTCAAAAGTAGTGTGCTATAGGGAATAAAGTATTATATTATTAGTATTATATATTGTACAGGGAATAAAGTATTATATTATTAGTATTAAATATTGTACAGGGAACAAAGTATTATATTATTCATTTAACAGTCATTCAAAAGTAGTGTGCTACTGTGGAATAAATAAATACATATTTTATATATTTTTATAAATATTTTGTGTATAAATAGGGAATAAAGTGTCATTTGGAACACGGAGGTAAGTTGACATTCATTAAAAGCTGTAAATGACAAGACAGCAGTTTAATAGAAGGGTAATTTAACCCCAGAGACGGAGAGAGACGAAGCAATCAGAGAAGCAATGTCTGATCGTCTGGACAATTCTTAATATTTCCCTTTAATCAGCGGTAGTCTGATGCAATTATACATTCTAGTGTACTAATAGCTCTTTGATCAGCGGTAGTCAATTATATGAGCCATTATATGAGATAACCCCCATCACATGTTTCAAGCAGACCACCATAGTCCCCGTGCCCAAGGACTCTAAGATAACCTGTCTAAATGACTACCGACCCGTAGCACTGACGTCTGTAGCCATGAAGTGCTTTGAAAGGCTGGTCATGGCTCACATCAACACCAATTATTACCAGAAACCCTAGACCCACTCCAATTTGCATACCGCCCCAACAGATCCACAGATGATGCAATCTCTATTGCGCTCCACACTGCCCTTTCCCACCTGGACAAGAGGAACACCTATGTGAGAATGCTATTCATTGACTACAGCTCAGCATTCAACACCATAGTGCCCTCAAAGCTCATCACTAAGCTAAGGATCCTGGGACTAAACACCTCCCTCTGCAACTGGATCCTGAACTTCCTGACGGGCCGCCCCCAGGTGGTAAGGGTACGTAACAACACATCTGCCACACTGATCCTCAACACGGGGTCCCCTCAGGGGTGCGTGCTCAGTCCCCTCCTGTACTCCCTGTTCACCCATGACTGCATGGCCAGGCACGACTCCAACACCATCATTAAGTTTGCCGACGACACAACAGTGGTAGGCCTGATCACCGACAACGATGAGACAGCCTATAGGGAGGAGGTCAGAGACCTGGCCATGTGGTGCCAGGACAACAACCTCTCCCTCAACGTGACCAAGACAAAGGAGATGATTGTGGACTACAGGAAAAAAAGAGGACTGAGCACGCCCCCATTCTCATCGACGGGGCTGTAGTGGAACAGGTTGAGGGCTTCAAGTTCCTTGGTGTCCACATCACCAACAAACTATCATGGTCCAAACACACCAAGACAGTCGTGAAGAGGGCACGACAAAGCCTATTCCCCCTCAGGAGACTGAAAAGATTTGGCATGGGTCCTACAGCTGCACCATCGAGAGCATCCTGACTGGTTGCATCACCGCCTGGTATGGCAACTGCTCGGCCTCCGACCGCAAGGCACTACAGAGGGTAGTGCGTACGGCCCAGTACATCACTGGGGCCAAGCTTCCTGCCATCCAGGACCTCTATACCAGGCGGTGTCAGAGGAAGGCCCTCAAAATTGTCAAAGACTCCAGCCACCCTAGTCATAGACTGTTCTCTCTGCTACCACACGGCAAGCGGCACCAAGTCTAGGTCCAAAAGACTTCTCAACAGCTTCTACCCCCAAGCCATAAGACTCCTAAACAGCTAATCATGGCTACCCAGACTATTTGCACTGCATAGTCACTTTAACTCTACCCACATGTACATATTACTTAAACTACCTCAACTAGCCGGTGCCCCCGCACATTGACTCTGCACTGGTACCCACCTGTATATTTAGCCTCCCTACTGTTATTTTATTTTACTTCTGCTCTTTTTTTCTCAACACTTTTTTGTTTTATTCTACTTTTTTATTAAAAATAAATGCACTGTTGGTTAAGGGCTGTAAGTAAGCATTTCACTGTAATGTCTGCACCTGTTGTATTCGGCGCTTGTGGCCAATAAAATTTTATTTGATTTTATTTGATTTGACATGTTTTGCTCGACCCGCTCAGTTTTCCATCACAAAACACCAGAAAATGGCCAAAAAGTCAAACCATCTCACCTGTTTTTACTCTGTGTTTTTAATCTGTGAATATTAGATATCTGTTTTCTTTCTTTCTTTTTTATTAAAACAAGAGTTCAGTTCACATAACACGGTTGACCTTAAAATGAGGGAAAATACATAAATGAATCACCATTCACATTAAGTTAATAATAGTCTTCAGAAATTACTTTGTCAAAGCAACAAAATAACTAGGGCTTTACAATGATGGTGAAAACTTGGAGAAATGTTAGGATTAAATGGGTTAAAATCATAAGTGACACAGGGTTGACAGAGGGACGTGTCAAGATGCTGAATTTTGGCACTTTAGCAAGTCTTTATTCATATCAAAAATCAGATTTATTGAATTCTCCATGTGGTCTATATTAAAAGGCACTTAATTTAATATAACAGGCTTTTAAAATCAATGTTGGTGCACATTTCCTACTTAGAATATCAAAGGGACGCAAAGTACAGTTTAGTTTTTTGTGAAATTACCCAGATGTTGGGATAAGGAAGTACTCCAAAAGAACAGAGAGGGCAGCACACAAATTTGCTCCCAATTACCACCTTTATTGACAACGTATCGACACAACACGGATCTTTGTCAGGTCATAACTATGATTCCTTAGTCAGCATCGAGTCTAACCTTTAAAAATGCTTTTCTTTTCAAAAGATAATGCTTTTCTTTTCAAAAGATAATGCTTTTTGCATTAATTGGAAGGTACTTGAACCATCTTACACTAATTGTGAAAATCATCCCTCATCCTCTCCCAGAAAACAACTTGTTGTCCTTCTAACACACCAATACATTTCAAGGTAGCAATAACTCCCTTCTCGGCTGAGAAAACAGAAATCTCTGTTTTATGAAATCTGTCTGTACCTGAAAGCTTGACAGTCTGTCTTCAGATTCCAGTGGCGGCTGCTGAGATAGGACGACGGCTCATAATAATGGCTGGAATGGAGTAAATGGAATGGCATCAACCAAATCACATGTTTGATACCATTCCAGTCACTCCATTCCACCCAGTATACGCCATTCCAGCCATTAGTATGAGTCGTCCTCCCCTCAGCAGCCTCCACTAATTCTAGCCAAAAGTAAACATGATCTCTCAACATTGCAAACTGCTGTCAAACAGGCTCAAGTTTCATTTTGAGTGATTTTCGTATTGAGTAAAACAATTTATCTACAAACAAACAATACCATTTATGGTCCAACAAATTGTTTTGTGCACTGTAGTAGCCCACAAGCCATTTATTTGTATCGGTCAGCAGCAGTACACACGGGGCTGACAGTGCCACCTGCTGGTGGGGTGATGGTATTAATGGAGAAAGGGCTTCTGTTAGGGGCGGGGAGAGGCGAACTATTGAGGCGGCACATGCAGACACGGGCCAGGGCGTATTTCCTGCACAAACCTGTATTAATACGGAGACAGGTGGGACACCGTAGTGTTAACTTCAGCTTTCATCTTTAACACGATAAGATATCTCTTTAGATATGGTTACAGACAGGGTTGTGATATTCTGGTAACTTTCCCCAAAATTCCCAGGTTTTCCAGAAATCGCGTTTGGGAAATTCCCAGAATCAGGAGGGGATAAAACAGGAAATCCAGAACCCTCCAAAAAACCATGATTTCCGGAAAACCTGGGAATATTTGCAAAAGTCACCTTTAATTTTGCAAGCTTACAGAGCATTATGGGTAATGTAGTACATCTTGCTACAATACCCAAGAAGAAGACTGCCACCGTGACCCCTGCGACCCAGAAGCCTTTCAACACGATGTCCTTGATGGCTGTGCTGCCGTACAGGTCCTCACCATCTTTCACCACGATGACGTTGCCATGGGAACCCTCGTCCCCGCGGTCCCACCGAGCCAGAGCAGAGGGGAAGTCCAGTCTCAGAGCCTCAGCGGGGAGCACCTGGATGGGAATAACAGAAGGAATTATATAAGCACATCTTTTGTGCTCCTCCGAGCTGGATTTTTAAACAAATGGTTCAATGAAAGGTGAAAAAGACACTCCACACTTGACAAAAAAAAATAAACGATTGATTGTTTTCTAAATGTTTTGGCCAATGAAGACCTGAGTGGTAGAAATGTTGTCGAAACTTTGTCAGACCTGATGAATACCTGTGTGTTCGAAACATGGTAGAATAAATATATCACACTGGAGCAGTGGAGGCAGCTGAGGGGAGGACGGCTCATAATAACGTCTGGAACGGAGCAGATGGAATGGAACCGTGTGTTTCATGTATTTGATACCATTCCACTGATTCCACTCCAGCCATTACCACAAGCCCGTCCTCCCCAATTAAGGTGCCACCAACCTCCTGTGCATTGGAGATATAATTGCAGTATGAGGGATCACATTTTACATCGACTTTAGTTTTTCGTTTTGCCAAGGCTCTTACCCGGAGGGACTTAAAATCAGCGCATTCAACTAAGGTTAGGTAGGTCAAAACATTCACCTCAATCAAACACAGATAACGTTTTTATTTATTTCAAACAGTATTTCGAACCCAGGTCTGGATAAAATGCAGTGTCTCCCAACCTTGAGCCCCAGGTAGAGTCTCTTGACCCTTCGGTAAGCAGTGTCCTGTACATCACAGCGGTATGTCCCAGCATCCTCCTCCCTCACCTAGGTTGAAGATACTCAGGTTAGGACAATGTCCTAGTCACATGAGGAAGCATTAGAAAAGTAACTGATTCTTGGTCCCTTAGTTTAGAATTCTTCTGCATTTATGCAAAGAGTTCTGGGATATTAGAACCCTTCTTGACTTAACCTTGGTTATCTTCAACCTAGCTCACTCACCGGGTCCAGGACCAGCCGGTCTAGCCTGGGGGCGTCCCAGCGTCCTAGCAGAGAGTCGTCGGTGGTCACCACCCCCCGGGCGTAGCGCCACGATATGCGGAATGAGAAGCGACCCATGGCCTCCATCACCTCACCCAGACAGTCCAGCTCCAACCGCTGACCAGCTGGCACAGTGATGGTCTGGAGGAGGAGGTATAGAAAGGGGAGGAGGAGAGGAGAGGAGGAGGAGAGGAGAGGAGAGGAGAGGAGAGGAGAGGAGAGGATTTTAGAGGAGAGGAGGAGGAGGAGGAGAGGGGAGGAGAGGAGAGGAGAGGAGAGGAGAGGAGAGGAGAGGAGAGGAGAGGAGAGGAGAGGAGAGGAGAGGAGAGGAGAGGAAGAGGGAGGAGGAGGGAGGGAGGGAGGGGAGGGAGGGAGGGAGGGAGGTGAGGGAGGGGAGGGAGGGAGGGAGGGAGGGAGGGAGGGAGGGAGGGAGGGAGGGAGGGAGGGAGAGGGGGAGGAGGGAGGAGGGTAAAGGGGAGGAAGAGGAGAGGGAGGAGGCGGAGGAGGAGGAGTAGGAGAGGAGAGGAGAGGAGAGGAGAGGAGAGGAGAGGAGAGGAGAGGAGAGGAGAGGAGAGGAGAGGAGGAGGAGAGGAGAGGGAGGAGAGGAAGGAGAGGAGAGGAGAGGAGAGGAGAGGAGAGGAGAGGAGAGGGGAAGAGGGAGGAGGAGGGAGGGAGGGGGAGGGAGGGAGGGAGGGAGGAGGGAGGGAGGGAGGGAGGGGAGGGAGGGGAGGGGAAGGGAGGGAGGAGAGGGGGAGGAGGAGGAGGAAAGGGGAGGGAGGAGGAGGGAGGAGGCAGGAGGAGGAGGAGGAGGAGGAGGAGAGAGGAGGAGAAGGAGGAGGAGAGAGAGGAGAGGAGAGGAGGAGGAGAGGAGAGGAGAGGAGAGGAGAGGAGAGGAGAGGAGAGGAGAGGAGAGGAGAGGGAGAGGAGAGGAGGTACAGGGGAGGGAGAGGAGAGGGGGGGGAGGAGGAGGAGGAGAGTAGGAGGAGGAGAGTAGGAGGAGGAGGAGGCGAGGAGGAGGAGGGTAGAAGGGAGGAGGAGAGAAGGAGGAAGAGGAGGAGGGGGGAGGAGAGGATGAGGGGGAGTAGGTAGAGGGGAGGAGATGGGGGAAGGAGGAGGGGGTAGAGGGGAAGAGGAATGGGAGGTGGAGAAGGAGGAAGAAGAAAAAATAAATTAAGGGCACAACCACAGGAGATACTGATGCCAGAAACCTCTCTCCACCCCAGAATTTACAATCTCTACTACATGGACAAGACTTGGTAAGTGATTGGTAAGTGATTTTTTCAGTTTAAAAAATACATATACAGCACATAAAACATTTTTAACGTGACAAAAGACCAGGATAACACAATAGAACAGGATAACACAATAGAACAGGATAACACAATAGAACAGGACAATGGACCAGGATAACACAATAGAACAAGGATAACACAATAGAACAGGATAACACAATAGACCAGGATAACACAATAGACCAGGATAACACAATAGAACAGGATAATAGACAAGGATAACACAATAACATCAGATACTTTTATCCATTGTGGTCTGAATGTATTATTATTTGTATTATTTTTTTGTAAGTCGAGACTATTCACCTGAAGACCACACTGCCAGGAGTCCACACAGCTGACCTTCCGGACGTGGCAGTCCTTCTCCTCCCCAACCTGGCCCTCTCTCAGTGGGCACAGCTCCTGCGTGCGCAGGCCCAGACCGCAGGTGGTGCTGCAGGGAGAGCTGTGGATGATGACCTCTGCTGGGACGGCCTTTAAGTCCTCCAGGTCAGCAGGGGACAGGGGGTTATGGGTAGGACTGGACAGACAGCAGAGGAGGAGGAAGGACCAGGAGATGAGGGAGATGGACATGGACAGACACAGACCCCAATTCCCCATCTCTGTGTGTCTGTCTCTGTCTCTTCAATTTACTGCACTGTGTGGAGTGAATAAGAGAATATACTGTTATTTTAAAGTTAGGTATTTCAATGATTGATCCATCCAAAAATCTAAAATGGAACAGGTGATAATCCATTCCATTATTGTGACATCACAATATCATGGAAGTTATGGAACTTGGAATGGAAAGAAAATCAAAGCTTCAAAGTTAGTAGAGAAGTTGTATGGTGTTTGTCTGACACCTAGTGTTGATAACCTGTAATGCTGTGACAGATGGGTCAGAACATCTCTATAAACTGAGTTTAAAAAACATTAGGAACACTTCAATCAGTGTAGAGGAAGGGGAGGAGACAGGTTAAAGAAGGATTTTTAAGCCTTGAGACAATTGAGACATGGATTGTGCATGTGTGCCATTCAGAGGGTGACTGGGCAAGACAAAAGATTTAAGTGCCTTTGAACGGGGTATGGTAGTAGGTGTCAGGCACACCGGTTTTTATTTTTTTTATTTTTTTATTTCACCTTTATTTAACCAGGTAAGCCAGTTGAGAACAAGTTCTCATTTACAACTGCGACCTGGCCAAGAACTGTGTGTCAAGAACTGCAACGCTGCTGGGTTTTTCACGCTCAACAGTTTCCCGTGTGTATCAAGAATGGTCCACCACCCAAAGGACATCCAGCCAACGGCAGGCCAGTGGTCGAAAACGGATCATTGATGAAAGAGGACAAAGGAGGCTGACACGAATTGTGCAGAGCAACAGACAGGCTACAGTTACTCAACTGACAGTGCAGTACAACACTGGTGTCCAAAGACCCATAAAATAAAGCACAACTCGTCGTACCTTGACACGAACGGGGTATGGCAGCCGACAACCTTACAGAGTTCCACTTCTTTCAGCAAAAAAAAACAAGAAACTGTGGTTGCAGTGGGCTAAGGAATTTTAAAAAAACTGTACACTGGAGAATTGGAAAAACATTGCCTGGTCTGATGAATCCATGGTCCTGCTGTTTCACGCTGATGGGAGGACTAGGGTATGGCGAAACACACGGTAGGTACTGGTACTGACCACACCTTCTCTGGCTGTCCTGGGCTTTTCTATAAAGAATATAGACTTGATGAAAGGCATATATATATAAAGTTGATATCCACGCACGTAAGTCAGACTTTTGCATTAACCACGCATCGATGTCACTAGGAGAAATGAGCAGACGTCTCAAATGAGAAGATGTTTCATTAGAAAATGTTTCATTAGAAGATTTTTTTTTTTTTTTTTTTTAACCTTTATTTAACCAGGTAAGCCAGTTGAGAACAAGTTCTCATTTACAACTGCGACCTGGCCAAGATAAAGCAAAGCAGTGCGATTAAAAACAACACAGAGTTACATATGGGGTAAAACAAAACATAAAGTCAATAATACAACAGAAAATATATATACAGTGTGTGCGAATGTAGTAAGTTATGGAGGTAAGGCAATAAATAGGCCATAGTGCAAAATAATTACAATTAGTATTAACACTGGAATGATAGATGTGCAAAAGATGATGTGCAAATAGAGATACTGGGGTGCAAATTAGCTAAATAAATAACAATATGGGGATGATTTGGGTGGGCTAATTTCAGAATGGCTGTGTACAGGTGCAGTGATCGGTAAGCTGCTCTGACAACTGACGCTTAATGTTAATGAGGGAGATCAGAGTCTCCAGCTTCAGAGATTTTTGCAATTCGTTCCAGTCATTGGCAGCAGAGAACTGGAAGGAATGGCGGCCAAAGGAGGTGTTGGCTTTGGGGATGACCAGTGAGATATACCTGCTGAAGCGCAGACTACGGGTGGGCGTTGCTATGGTGACCAGTGAGCTAAGATAAGACGGGGATTTGCCTAGCAGTGATTTATAGATGACCTGGAGCCAGTGGGTTTGGCGACAAATATGTAGTGAGGGCCAGCCAACGAGAGCGTACAGGTCACAATGGTGGGTAGTATATGGGGCTTTGGTGACAAAATGGATGGCACTGTGATAGACTACATCCAATGTGCAATGAGTGTTGGAGGCTATTTTGTAAATGACATCGCCGAAGTCAAGGATCGGTAGGATAGTCCGTTTTACAAGGGCATGTTTGGCAGCATGAGTGAAGGAGGCTTTGTTGCGAAATAGGAAGCCAATTCTAGATCTAACTTTTGATTGGAGATGCTTAATGTGAGTCTGGAAGGAGAGTTTACAGTCTAACCAGACACCTAGGTATTTGTAGTTGTCCACATACTCTAGGTCAGACCCGCCGAGAGTAGTGATTCTAGTCGGGTGGGCGGGTGCAAGCAGCGTTCGGTTGAAGAGCATGCATTTAGTTTTACTAGTGTTTAAGAGCAGTTGGAGGCTACTGAAGGAGTGTTGTATGGCGTTGAAGCTCGTTTGGAGGTTTGTTAACACAGTGTCCAATGAAGGGCCAGATGTATACAAAATGGTGTCATCCGCATAGAGGTGGATCCGAGCGTCACCAGCAGCAAGAGCGACATCATTGATATACACAGAGAATAGAGTCGGCCCGAGAATTGAACCCTGTGGCACCCCCATAGAGACGGACAGAGGTCCAGACAACAGGCCCTCCGATTTGACACATTGAACTCTATCTGAGAAGTAGTTGGTGAACCAGGCGAGGCAGTCATTAGAGAAACTAAGGCTATTTAGTCTGCCAATAAGATGTTTAATTGGACAGCCAAGTACATTACTTGGGCCGAGCTCCCTGCCATCCAGTAACTCTATATCAGGTGGTGTCAGAGGAAGGACTGAAAAATTGCCAAAGAGTCCAGCCACCCAAGTCATAAGACTGCTATATACAGTGGGGAAAAAAAGTATTTAGTCAGCCACCAAATGTGCAAGTTCTCCCACTTAAAAAGATGAGAGAGGCCTGTAATTTTCATCATAGTTACACGTCAACTATGACAGACAAAATGAGAAAAAAAAATCCAGAAAATCACATTGTAGGATTTTTTATGAATTTATTTGCAAATTATGGTGGAAAATAAGTATTTGGTCAATAACACAAGTTTCTCAATACTTTGTTATATACCCTTTGTTGGCAATGACACAGGTCAAACATTTTCTGTAAGTCTTCACAAGGTTTTCACACACTGTTGCTGGTATTTTGGCCCATTCCTCCATGCAGATCTCCTCTAGAGCAGTGACGTTTTGGGGCTGTCGCTGGGCAACATGGACTTTCAACTCCCTCCAAAGATTTTCTATGGGGTTGAGATCTGGAGACTGGCTAGGCCACTCCAGGACCTTGAAATGCTTCTTACGAAGCCACTCCTTCGTTGCCCGGGCGTTGTGTTTGGGATCATTGTCATGCTGAAAGACCCAGCCACGTTTCATCTTCAATGCCCTTGCTGATGGAAGGAGGTTTTCACTCAAAATCTCACGATACATGGCCCCATTCATTCTTTCCTTTACACGGATCAGTCGTCCTGGTCCCTTTGCAGAAAAACAGCCCCAAAGCATGATGTTTCCACCCCCATGCTTCACAGTAGGTATGGTGTTCTTTGGATGCAACTCAGCATTCTTATCCTCCAAACACGACGAGTTGAGTTTTTACCAAAAAGTTATATTTTGGTTTCATCTGACCATATGACATTCTCCCAATCCTCTTCTGGATCATCCAAATGCACTCTAGCAAACTTCAGACGGGCCTGGACATGTACTGGCCCGTCAGACGGGCCTGGACACGTCTGGCACTGCAGGATTTGAGTCCCTGGCGGCGTAGTGTGTTACTGATGTAGGCTTTGTTACTTTGGTCCCAGCTCTCTGCAGGTCATTCACTAGGTCCCCCCGTGTGGTTCTGGGATTTTTGCTCACCGTTCTTGTGATCATTTTGACCCCACGGGGTGAGATCTTGCGTGGAGCCCCAGATCAAGGGAGATTATCAGTGGTCTTGTATGTCTTCCATTTCCTAATAATTGCTCCCACAGTTGATTTCTTCAAACCAAGCTGTTTACCTATTGCAGATGCAGTCTTCCCAGCCTGGTGCAGGTCTACAATTTTGTTTCTGGTGTCCTTTGACAGCTCTTTGGTCTTGGCCATAGTGGAGTTTGGAGTGTGACTGTTTGAGGTTGTGGACAGGTGTCTTTTATACTGAGAACTAGTTCAAACAGGTGCCATTAATACAGGTAACGAGTGGAGGACAGAGGAGCCTCTTAAAGAAGAAGTTAGAGGTCTGTGAGAGCCAGAAATCTTGCTTGTTTGTAGGTGACCAAATACTTATTTTCCACCATCATTTGCAAATAAATTCATTAAAAATCCTACAATGTGATTTTTTGGATTTTTTTTCTCAATTTGTCTGTCATAGTTGACGTGTACCTATGATGAAAATTACAGGCCTCTCTCATCTTTTTAAGTGGGAGAACTTGCACAATTGGTGGCTGACTAAATACTTTTTTTCCCCACTGTAGCTAATTAATGGTTACCTGGATTATCTGCACTGATCCTATCTTGCACTGACTCTATGTAGACTCACAAGACTATATACACTGAGTGTATAAAACATTAGGAAATCCTTTCTAATATTGAGTTGCACCTCCTTCTGCCCCAGAACAGCCTCAATTCATCGGGGAATGGAATCTAAAAGGTGTCAAAAGCGTTCCACAGGGATGCTGGCCCAAGTTGACTTCAATGCTTCCCACAGTTGTGTCAAATTGGCTGGATGTCTTTTGGCTGGATGTCCTTTGGCTGGATGTCCTTTGGCTGGATGTCCTTTGGCTGGATGTCCTTTGGCTAGATGTCCTTTGGCTGGATGTCCTTTGGGCGTGAAAACCCCAGCAGCGTTGCATTTCTTGAGACACTCATTCCCTTGCGCCTGACACCTACCACCACACCCTGTTCAAAGAAACATACATATTTTGTCTCGCTTTCACCTGGATTCACATGGAAATGTGTTGTACACCCAGTGTATAGACAATACAGTGCATTTAGAAAATATTAACAACCATTGACTTATTTCACATTTTGTTCTATTACGG